ACCCAACGCAAGGGAAAGTCTACACCTTTTCTCCCATGTTCACTTACATGCTAGGCTCCCCAAGAAACAAGGTTGGGCCACACAGCCCAGGCTACCAAAGCCCGAGAGTTGACCCAAGTTGGATTCTCCTTCTCTCTCGCATTTCTATTGCACAGGCCCCTACCCAGCAGCCCACAAAGTCCGGCCCAAGCCAACCTTTCAGCGTCGCCCTTTCCTCTCGGCCTTAGCCGAGTAAAGCTCAGCACATTGACCCTTTTTCCACACCACCAAGCTACACCGTGGCATCCCCGTCAAGCGTTTCTTACTTCCTCGGCCCCCGCCGAGCCATTTTTTTTCAAGTCCCAAGACTTCCAAAAAATTCAAGAAGAAGAAAATTCAAATTTTTCTTACCTTGGTGCGGCACGGAGAAGAAGAACTACAACGAGAGACAACTCTTTGCAGGGGCAAGAAAAGAAGAACGCTAGGGGAGGGGGAATAAAAATTTCCTCTGGCTTCTCTTCCTTGTTGGAATAATGATTGCACTCCAAATTTATTTAATCCCCTACTTAAGGCATAATTAAATAGGTATTGGGGGCAATTGTTTTTCTTTTCGTAGAAGAAGTCTATCTCCAAATCAAGAAAGAAGATCAAGTTCAAATTGGGAAGCAATTTTATAAGTCTAAACAGCTTGGGATTCCTACACGTACTATCCTTTTCTTGCGTGCAACACAGTAGGTGTGGGGGCATTTGTGGAGCCTAAAATAATTCCAAAAATTCTAGAAGCGACACGTGGACTTTTATTCAAGAAAGACAAGATTGCTCTCAATAAATTGGCAGGCTTCTCAAATGCTCCCACGCGTAGCTCACATCCCTGGAGGTTCTAAGAGCTGAATACGATGCTCACAACTCACCTGCCCTTGGCAAGGGATTAAAGATAAGGATTAATTACCCAAATCCTATCTTTAATACATTCCCATTTGAAGATTGACTCCAATTAAGTAAGTAATCCTAATTTAAATCAATTAGGGATAATTGCTCGATTATCTCAAGATATTATTTCCTATTAAATATCTTTGGAATATTTAAAGAATATCTCTCCATTAAACACTATGGCCGGCCCTATCCCTATAAATACCCCATATTCTACCATATTCTATCAAAAATGAAGCATTCCAAGTTTGCATCAATTGAGCGTTCCTCATTTATCATGTTGATAAGAGATAGAGCATCAGACTCTATCTCTAGCATCTCATAATGCATGCCCCTAAATATCACCAAAGCTATACGAATTGCAGCTGCTTCAACTATAGCTACATCATTGAAAAACGCTCATGAGGTGTATCCATGGGTGGAGTTACATGAGGACAAAGAGGGGAAAATCACCATTGAGAGTGAAGATTTCGCCCCTCTGGTCCTCTAAACTGCCACCGAAATTAATTTCTTGTGCAACTATGCTGTTTCTGTGTTTTATGCTTCGCTACTTCTTTCACACTTTTAGTTTTTTAAATATGCAAGTCAAAACGACATCGTTTTGGTCCTGCGATAAAAAAACATAAAATAGAGTCGTTAAGGAGGGAAACCATGTTGTGAGTGTGCAGAGAAGTTTCCAATTCTATAAGGCTCTATTTAAGGCCATTATGCTCCACAATTGATATATGATGGTCAAGAGGTACTTTAATGCAATGTTGAGTGGGGGAATATAGCCCAATAGGAATGCTTATAAATTATATGAGTCATTAGTCATACCCACAAGGTGTTTGATGAAACACCCCACTTAACTGTCTCTCCTTTGAATGCTAAGTCAGGAGCTACTGCAGAGAGAATCAATGGGATGATACCTTGTATCTCTTCCATAACATGATATCTGAGCCAAGTGGGAATGATGAGAAACTCGATAATTTCAATATTCCTATTGCTTTGAAGGCATGTCCAAGGTTAAGGTCTTCACATATGAGAAAATAATACACGGGTTTGTGAAGAAACATGACAAGGTTGCATTGAATATTTTTCTGGGATATGCGTTGATTGAATTATACTCCAAATATGGAGAAATAGGTGAGGCTATGAAAGTGCTTAACGAGTTTCACAACCGAATATGTGTAACGAATTTCACTATTCCTACTACTCATCTTTTTTTTGGCTATCGAATATCTAGGCAACTTTTGAGGTGGTTAGCATGTCAATTTGGTACCTCTTTGCCTCTTTCAGATTCTTTAGCTATTTTTTGGGATTTCTATGTTCATAAGCCCTTTTCCAAATAGTTGCACAATCTATGAATTTTGCCGGTCTTTCTACTATTTCAGCTATTTGAAAGGCTATTTGGAAGGCTTGAAATAAGTTTATTTTTTAGGGTTATCCAATCTATTTTCATCGTCTTTGCGTGTCTATCAATTCTGCAAGGTGAGAAGTTTATTCCTGGTTACTCTCAGGATTTTGACACTCGAATCATTTCTTCTTTGGGGATCTGACCTATCCCTTGCAAGGCGCTTACTATTTCTTCCTGTCTTTTGGTCTCCTTTTTGGTTTCTTTGGATTCAGCTTAATACAGATGGTTTGTCTAAAGGAAATCCCGGTTTTATTGCTTGTGAAGGAGTTTTCAGGAATTGCAATGGTCATTTTCTTGGAGGTTTCTGTCAATGAATTGGTCATTACAATTTTTTTTTTTTTTTTTTTTGTGTAGAATTATCAACAATTATTATTAGTATAAAGTTTGTATATCAGCGGGATTGGCATTGTCTTTGGCTGGAAAGTGACAGTTCTAGTGTTATTTCTATTCTTCAATCGTCTGATTTTGATCCTCCTTGGCCTCTTCGTACGCAATGGTCTATTTCTTTGGATCGTATTTGGAAAATGACTTTCTATGCATCTCACATATATTGCGAAGAAAATCTTATTGTGGACAAATTTGCTAAAATGGGCTTGTCTTCTTCATCTTTAACATGGCATGATTCTCCATCGTTGGCGGCTCGTGCTGCTTTATTTTCAGACTATGTTAGCTTGTCTGGCTATCGTTTTTGAAATTAATGTGGATGTCGGCATCTAGGTTTGTCTCACTTTCTTGTTTTTTTTTTTCCCTAACTTTATGGTGTTGTTTGACTTGATTTGCAGGTTTAGACCTTTAGGTTTGGTTTTAGAAGGGTTAGGTTTCATGTCCTCACCTTCCGCCCCCCCCCCCTCTTCTTCTTTGTATCATTCATGTTTTTGTTTCTAAAAAGAGAAGGTTTGTGTCTCCCCTTCTTTTGCGTATTCCTTTTTGTTTTCTTTATTTTTTGAGGGTAAGGTGTATGTCCCTCCTAACTAGGTGTAACTTATTTTTCTATCATCAATAAAATCTCTCATACCGTCGAAGTTTCTCAAAAAAAAAAAAAAAAACAATGGTCTTAGACGGATTTATGGAAGATATGAATTTTCTCAAATAGTTGGACAACCAAGAATTTAGTCAGATATTTTATGGCAACATAGCTATGAAAGATATACAACAGTTGACTTTGTTAGAAATTTTATTCAAACTTATACAAAGTATTGATGTGGGACATCAATGATGTAGGGTTTCAATTAGTCCATTTCAATAATTCATCAATGATGATGGAAACTCAACTCAACACTTGAAACATCACGCCTGAATGCCATGAGCAATGTACATTATACTACCGCAAGTTACAATGCCAGGTTACACAGTAATAACAGATCAAACAAAAAGAAAGGAAGGACCAAAATTGCAAGAAACAGATCCGCAGCCGTCAATGGTTATATGCACAATAATTTCTTGTTGCCGTGTTGTGTTAAGAAATAGTATGCTGGATATATATAGTTTAATTTTTGTTTAATTTTTCGATATATAAACACACACACACACACACAAAGGAAGTTGATGAATTATATATTCGTCCATTGAAAGCATGGTTAATTTTCTATATGCAGGTATCTCTCCGCAGCCCTCAGTGATTACGTGTTGCGTTAAGAAATAGGACGCTGTATATATATATATCGTTTAATTTTTCTATCTATATACAAAGGAAGTTGATCAATTATATATTCGTCCATTGAAAGCATGGTTAATTTTCTATATGTAGTCATCTCTCTCTCTCTCTCTCTCTCTCTCTCTCTCTCTCTCTCTCTCTCTCCCTCCCTCCCTCCCTGATAAGAAGAAAGAAACAAAGAATATAGAAGAATGTGGAAGCTTAGGGTCGCAGATGGTGGCAGTGATCCATACATCTACAGCACAAACAACTTCGTGGGAAGGCAGATATTTGAGCTTGACCCTGAAGCAGGAACTACCGAAGAGCGAGCTGAGGTGGAAGAAGCTCGTCTTCATTTCTACAATAATCGCTATCAGGTTAAGCCCAGTGGTGACCTCCTATGGCGAATGCAGGTATGCTTTAGTTCGTCCAAACTCTTTTTGTAAGTTAGTTTACTGCAAATGTAAACCAGGTTTCTAATAAATGTGAGTTCTAGTTATCTTGGTTCCACCCATGTTGTTATTGTCCACTCACTTATCATTAATGCACCATACAAATTTCATAATCAATAAAGACATTATTTCACTTTTTCACATTATCTAAAGATCATGTTTGCTAAAAATCAAGCAATTTGGATATCATTTAGTCAACCACATATATCAAATATGATTAACAGTTTTGATAATAGTTTATCAATCTTTCATTCATTTGATGCATTGTGATGACTAAACGTTCTCTAACTTGGTTGATTTTCAGAATATAAAATGAATAAGCAAATTCTAATAATGAAGTTTGTATGTCAAAAATTCGTTAATTACAAGTAGACAAATGCACTCATAAAGTGGACAAAAGTATCATCCATTAGTAAATACATATCAAATAACACTATACTCATATTCTCCCTCCAACCTCCCACCAAATGTTATCTTGTACTTTGCCGAAGTGTATTTTCTTCCTTGGTTTTATAAAGGAGTGGAATTGATATTTTTAAAGTACCGCTAACATCTCCATTTCAATAGATTTTATTTATTTATTATTATTATTTTTTGTATCACTTAATACTACAGTTTAATACTATTTCTCTTTATTTAAATTTAAATTTTACGAAGTTGAGTTTTATACCAAGTTATTCTCACTCTTTAGTATAAACTAGCTAGTAATGCCCGCGCGTTGCTGCGGGATTACAAATTCCAAGAATAACAAATTTGTAAGTGGAAGAACCTCATTGAAAGCCTTCTGGAAGCAATACAACACCTTTTGGAACATTTGCCTCATTCTGGTCCGGAGTGCATAATGTGCAAGCAGTTTAAGCATTTCCCAGCACCACAGAGCCTCATATTTCCTAGGATTAATCAACAATGGCTCCTCCAGCTTTGAAATAGCAGCTGGGCAAACAAACACAAATCCACATTTACAAATTTTCACTTCACTCCCAAATAAATAATTAATAAAAATAACATGGAGAATTTCTACGTCTAAATAATTAATAAAAAAAAAAGATATTTCGGAGAAATTCAAAGTTAGCACCTTGAGTTAGCTTTTTTTATTCCAGTACATTCCAAAACTGAGACAGATTGCTCTCTATTTTCTTTCATAATACAGAAGTGCAGTTTCTATTTTTTGATCAACCAAAGCATAGTCGACATCTTTTACAGTCACTTAGATTGCATCTCCTTACATGATTGAAAAAACAATTGAATCACAATTAACATTAACAGAATTTTTAAATCATATATCCAATCCCACAGAGAGATCACAATCAAATAGTTGTTATCTGGCGATGAAACTTAAAAACCAAAAATGCACCTTAATGTCCTAGAGAGAACAGAATTGCAAGCAAAAGTAGAATATTGAAACAATATCGTGATAATCACAAAATAAGTTTATGCGTTTGCTAATATTGATTTATTAGGTTCCAACTTTGTCTCAATTTATCATTTTCTGTTAAACTGAAAGTGTAAACATTTAGGCACTTACCAAGAAAAAAGCAATTAATTATTTGATGCTACTTACAAAACCAATTGGCATATATAGGCTTTGGTTAAAAGGTTAAGTATTTACCAAAAGATTCCAGCTGCAAAAATGCATGGAATATCTACAAAGTGTTTGATAAATCCAGAAATAGTCATGCTTCCAAACAACTGAACACAATTGATACCAAATTGCAACAATTTCTTTAAATTAGTCAAATTAATCTATTGATGCACAAATAGAAAATTGTTGTATATATTCAGTTTCACCTTTTGCAAGGAGTAGTTAATGATATCCAAGAACGATGTGAAGACATATCATGGGTTAAACTATCTATGAGTTGAAAAAAACTAAAACGCATTGTACAGAGCAATGAAATAGCTAAAAAGCAAATGAAATAACTAAGTTACCATTCTTTGTCTTAAGCAGCAAAACTCTCATTCCATCAGGTACATTTCCACTTCTTCATATCCTCTGCAACAAAATAAACTATATCAACATCGAAGTGATACTCACCAATTGAAGCCCACATGATACAAAGCCTTGGCGAAAAAAAAGGACAAAAAAAGTAGTTAATAAGAAACAATTTCATCAAGCAAAGATACAAAGTGGACTATAGGATTTTATGAGAAAACTCATATATTAATCCTTTATAACCCAGCAAGAGATTGGCCAATGCATCATTGAGTTGAGTTCTTATACATATTTGACTGCACAAACCAAAAGCTCAAAGTGGGATTCAAAAAGTCAACACGTTCAAATGCTATATTTTTATAGGGATGTAACACTTGGTAATTTCTCGAGTAGTAAGTTCCCATTCTTTATCTATCTAATTTCACACGCCTACAACAAATAAAATAGTTGAACAATTTCAGTTTTTGAAAAAGGAAACACAGATGGAAGAAAAAATTCAACAATTTGATCTTGTAACTCATAACCACAGAGAGTCAAAAGCACTTCAATTATGTAAGGATGGAAAAGGGGTGCAAATAACTTATGCCCAATCGATCACTGCCTAATTGTCAACTTTTATAGACAAAGATTAGAAAAGTTTTGAACCAAGCACAATAGTTAAAGTTACTTTAGATTTTCCAATGTTCATAATCATTTTGCTGCTATATAAACTGATGTATTGGCAATGGCATAGAATGCCTATAAAGCTACTTACAGCGCAACAAATTCCAATGCATATATACTGATGTTCTTGCCTTTGCAAGCAGCCAGCTTCTATTGACCCATTGAAGTTTCAATAAATATTATCTATTCCAATAATTGAATCGAAGCCTCCTTCCAAAAATCCTAATCGCAAAACCAAGAATCACAATAAAAACAAATGATACAAATACATACACAGAGATATACATTTATATCTAATTAGCTACTGTACAAACCGCTCTTTTTTCTTAACCTTGGCTTCAAAGTAAACCTTCGTACTACACTTCAACAGCCTCGTTATTTCTTCCTGCAAGTGTTCGAACGAATCTGTAAAATAAAGTGAAAGAGTAAAATAATAGATTATCATAGCAAGAACTAAAGAAATTCATCCAAATTGCCTTATTCAATCACATCATTCCCTTTTTCCCTACTAAATAAAAAAGAGGTCAGTGAGATTCAATACAAATATATTCACAAAAATAAAAAATTCTTATATTTTCCTGAAGGGATATCCCAGAATTTAAATTCACCCATTCCCTAATTGTCTTAATTGGAGCGAACCCAGAAACAAAGTAACGAAAAAAAAAATGAAAAACTTATTCTCAACATCTAAACAGTTCAAAGCCCAGAACCAATAAAAAAAAAATAAAAAAATAAAAAACACAAAGAATACCTTTGCGGGTTTGGGCCTCTTTTCTCCTAAGTGTTACAGTATTGGTGCTGCGCCTTAATCCGTCGTGTTTCCGTCGGTAATAATCAAAGGTGGGGCTACAGGTTTGGATGAAGAAGAAGAGGAGGATTCGAGCCTACAAACAAAATCACAAAAAGCAAACTTAAACACAAAACCCATCTGCAAATCCTAAACCACCAAAAAAAAAAAAAAAATTAAAACACCCACGCTAAGAAAGGCGGAAAAACTCACCAGTAACCGCTAACTTTTCTGGGTAAAAAATAGAATCGATTCGAATGAAAAATCAAAAAAAGTTCTCGCTGCAGAGTGCTGCTGCACACGCGAAGACACGTTCACAAAGCCTTTCAAAGGCTGAGATTCAACTTTCAAATATGAAGACTTTAACCCACAATTGTTCTTTCTTCCCCCTGAAACCCTCATTGAAGGACAGCAAATGAAACTGTACACGCCAACCCCCGAATTCAGTGAAAACCGAGAAGACAAAACCCATTTTCCCACTTTTGAAATCCATCACCCATACCTCTCCCCTGCGCTTTCTTCCCATCGGCATCTCTCTCTCTCTCTCTCTCTCTCTCTATTTCTTCCGCTCTCTGTCAGAGTTTCCATCCCCCGAAACCCTCATTGAAGGACAGCAAATGAAACTCTACACGCCAACCCTGAATTCACTCAAAATCGAGAGGACAAAATTGCCCTTCCAACCTAGTCCACGTATAATGGGTTTCTTGCAAATAAGGTGAAATGAAGGGGTAATTCGTCCTAAACCCTCCGGACAAAATTACCCTTCTGAGTTCAAATAAATACCCTTCAAACCCAGCCCAAATCTCATGGTTTTATTGTAAATAAGATGAAATCAAGAGGCAAACAATTGACTGTAGCGGAATGAACAGTCAATTGCTCCTCAATTTTAGAATAGATAATATTCCCATTCTTGGTTGGTCCGGTGGGTGCACATCAAGTTGTAATAGTAATAAGAATATAATAATATTTAACATAATAAAAAATAAAAAATAAAAGAAAGTAGTGCTACCCTTACTATCAACTTGTACCATCATTTATATTATTTCTCTAATAGATGTAAGGTTTCCCACCACATGTGAGTCCTATCTCTATTTGAGATATGGTACAAATAGATGGTAAAAATATCATTTTTAAATAAAAATAGAACTTTTTGTTTGTCTCGTTTCTAATACTCACAAGTTTCCATTTTCCTATCTGATGGGCAACACCAATAAATCTTTAGGTTTTATTAAAATTAAGTTAGTAACAACATCATCATCATAATTTTTTTTAATCATCACTTCAATCCTTTCATTAGTATCGCTCTTAATTCTCTATTCAATTACCGGCAGTTCCTAAGGGAGAAGAACTTCAAACAAACAATTCCCCCAGTTAAAGTTGAGGATAGAGAGGAAATCTCACATGAAAAGGTCACAGCTTCGTTGAGAAGGTCTGTCCACTTCCTTTCAGCTTTGCAGGCTACCGATGGCCATTGGCCTGCTGAAAATGCCGGCCCGTTATTTTTTCTTCCTCCTTTGGTGAGTATTTAATTTCTATTTTCCCGTACATTGTCACCATTTAGTATATCATGTTAATTAATCATGCAATCTCCCATTTATATAAAGGGATAAATTTACTCCAACTTCTTAAAAGTTTATAAGGTCACATTTTGTGTATATGAGTAATGTTAGGTAAATTAATTATTTAGACTAAAAATTATGTGATGTGTCACTAATAGAAAATAAGCATGTTAATCAACATTTAAGTAGTAATACAATCATCTACGACCACATTATATGACTTATAGGATATAGTTTAAATAGCATTACCCAATGTATTTGGAAGAAAAAAAATGTTGTCAACTTTCAAAATTTGAAAGAAATAATTTAAGTTTGTCTTTATGACTACAGAGTTTAAACTTAATGTCAACTTTCAAAAATGAGCAATGATCGTAAGCCTATTATATCAGCATTTGTCTTGCTGGTTGTTAGCCCCAAATACCAACTCTTTTTATCAAACAAATCCAAAACCTTTGTACTATCTATTTTGAAGCCATAGCATTTTCCATTTTTAAACAAACTATGAAAATACTTTATTCGGCTTAAAAATAAACAACATAGTTTCTGAGTTTTTACCTGAATTCAAATTTTTGCAAATTTTGATAATTACTCTTTCCAATTTTTTACTCAAAATTTGCAGGTCATGTGCACTTACATTACAGGGCATCTTAATACTATATTCCATGCAGAACATCGAAAAGAAATTTTACGTTACATATACTATCATCAGGTACATTATATACATTTTGGTATTTTTCCACACAAATTGGATCAAATTATAATTTTTCAAAATGTGCTTGTTTGTGTTAAACTACTAACAAGGGTTGCAGTTAAGTTGGCCAAGAGTTTCACTTCTGCATTACAAGTCCCTCTTGTATAAAAGAAAAGACACAATAAAAATGCTAATTAATGTTTTGGGTATTCCAGAACCAAGATGGTGGCTGGGGATTACACATTGAAGGACACAGCATCATGTTCTGCACAGCTCTCAACTACATTTGTATGCGTATTCTTGGGGAAGGACCTGATGGTGGCCAAGACAATGCTTGTACAAGAACTAGAAAGTGGATTCTTGATCATGGCAGTGTTACCCACATCCCCTCTTGGGGTAAAACTTGGCTTTCGGTATGTCTATCTGCAGCAATAAGACCAACTTCTTTTATTAGGCTTTAGTAAACTGTTCTTAAATTTCACTATAACTATAGCAAATCGATCGTCAACATATTGATACTTTATCTATGCTACATATAACAAACTTATTTGAGATTATTTGTTATTGATGACAGGATAATATCAACAACGTATAAGAATGTATTACTCTCAATGATATTAGTAGATAACATTATTATTGATACATTCTATAACAGTGGCGGGACCCTACTATTATCAGTAAGATTTACCTGGATTGGACCGTCTAAAAGGAAAAGATAGATGTGATGTGTCATATTTAACTTCATATGTAGCGATGTAAGTTATACCGTATATATCCAATGCATACATAATCAAATAATTGTTTGAAACATTTAGCTTTTTGTTTTCATTAGAGAAAGATTCAGTCAAATTTAGAATTAAATATTACTCTTATATCTTCTTAAGGTAGAGTTCCACCTTTTCTACTCTAGATTAATCAAATATGACTTTGCATATATAGTACACCAAATCATTTATAACCTTAACTATTTCAGTATATTGAAGAGTGATCGAGTCATATTTGGCATTGAGAACACTGCACTACTATTATTTAAGACGATTTCCCCTTTTAATTAATCCTGCTCAATTGATTCTTGAAGATACTTGGTGTGTTTGAGTGATCCGGAAGCAACCCAATGCCCCCAGAGTTTTGGATTCTGCTTCATTTCTTCCTATGCATCCAGGTTAGAACAATTCCGGACCCGACAAGTACAAATAATTCAGTCTTTCACATGTTGATTCATTTAATTAGTCTCTCTCTACCTATAGTCTTCTTTTTAAATCTGTTTTATATCATGCAAATGCAGCAAAAATGTGGTGCTACTGTAGGATGGTTTACATGCCTATGTCATATTTATATGGGAAAAGATTTGTTGGTCCAATCACACCTCTCATACTACAATTAAGGGAAGAACTCTATGCTCAACCTTATGACAAAATTAATCATTACTGTGCTAAAGTGAGTTTAACTTGATAAAGATATCTAATTAGTTGTTTAGCTAGGTACATAAACTGATTGCAGTAAATTGAATGCAGGAGGACATCTACTTCCCTCATCCTTGGATACAGGACTTTCTATGGGATTGTCTGTACATATGTACAGAGCCACTTCTTACTCGCTGGCCATTTAACAAGCTGATCAGGGAAAGGGCTCTCGAAGTAACAATGAAGCATATTCATTATGAAGATGAAAACAGCAGATACATTACCATTGGATGTGTCGAAAAGGTGTTATGCATGCTGGCTTGTTGGGCTGAAGATCCAAATGGTGATTATTTTAAAAAGCATCTTGCCAGGATACCAGACTATTTATGGGTTGCTGAGGATGGGATGAAGATGCAAGTTAGTACACATTTTGTTAATGCAGTATAAGTTGATACATTGTTCTTTACCATTTTTTTCTGTTTCAAAAGTTCACTCTTCTAAATCATTGGAAAACATTATAAGTTGATACATTTTCTTGATACTTGCAGAGTTTTGGCAGTCAACTATGGGATACTGGTTTTGCCGTTCAAGCTTTGCTTGCTTGCAATCTAACCGATGAAGTTGCACCCACGCTCGCTAGAGGACATGATTTCATCAAAAAATCTCAGGTTCTTTTTATATAGTCAACTCAATTTTCATTTTTTGTAAAATGTGTGTGTGCATCAATTAATTTGGTCCAACAAGTGACTTCAAAAGCATGGATGGCAATTAAAGGTAAAGGACAATCCATCAGGTGACTTCAAAAGCATGCACCGCCACATTTCCAAAGGATCGTGGACTTTCTCTGATCAAGACCATGGATGGCAAGTTTCTGATTCCACTGCAGATGGTTTAAAGGTAACAAATAGTTCAACTTAGTTATCCACCTTAAATGTTATTTCTATATTTCTCACTATAACACCCTCTACAGTGTTGCCTGCTTTTATCGATGATGCCACCAGAGATGGTTGGTGAAAAAATGGAACCTGAGAGGTTATATGATGCTGTCAACGTCATAATTTCCCTACAGGTGACAACTATTATGTCTGTCAGTCATATATATGAGTTTGAGTTGCATTTTGTTTCCCTGCCGTAATCAAATTTGGATCTATGCATGGCGGCCTTACTTTAAAAACCTTTTAGCATTTCAAGACATTCGTTCTTCATTGCATGGTCTATTAGGTCTCTCTACTCATTAAAAATCATTTTTATGGCTCATTGTAGAGTAAGAATGGTGGTTTAGCGGCCTGGGAACCAGCAGGAGCAGCAGAATGGTTAGAAGTAAGAATTTTAAAGAATTGGAGTCATGTTGTTGAACTTAGTCTGATGCGTATGAAACTAAAGTTTTTTAAGGCGTTATTAATTAGTATACCTACTGGATATTCTCTCTTCTTTTTTCTCCCCAGTTGTTGAATCCTGCAGAATTCTTCGCCGACATTGTGGTTGAGCATGAATGTGTTGAATGTACTTCATCTGCAATTCAGGCGTTAGTTTTGTTTAAGAAGTTGTACCCTGGCCACAGGAAGAAAGAGATTGATCAATTTATTACCAATGCAGCACAGTACCTCGAAAATACACAAATGGCAGATGGTTCATGGTATATCATATTTTTAAATCAAAATTTGATTATATACATTTTCTTTGATTAACAACTGGAGCAAAAAAAGAACTTAGTTAAGAACATTTGCACAGGTACGGGAATTGGGGAGTTTGCTTCACATATGGTACCTGGTTTGCTCTTGGAGGGTTAACAGCTGCTGGCAAGACTTTCAACAATTGTGCAGTTATACGCAAAGCTATAAGTTTTTTACTCACAATCCAGAAAGAGAACGGTGGTTGGGGAGAGAGCTACCTTTCATGTCCAAAAAAGGTAAAATATGGGAGGTGGATTATGTTTGAAGCTAGCTCCAAGTTTCTTAGTTAATCTCATT